ACCTTTCTATGATACCATCCTGGGACTTACAGAAAATGAAATATACCTGAACCTTTCTATGATACCATCCTGTGACTAACAGAACATGAAATATACCTGAATCTTTCTATGATACCATCCTGTGACTAACAGAACATGGAATATACGTAAACTTTTATATGATACCATACTGGGACTTGCAGAACATGAAATATACCTGACCTTTCTATGATACCATCCTGGGACACACAGAACATGGAATATACCTAAACCTTTCTATGATACCATCCTTGGACTTACCGAACATGGAATATACCTAAACCTTTCTATGATACAATCCTTTGACTTACAGAACATCAAATATACCTGAACCTTTCTATGATACCATCCTTGGACTTACCGAACATGGAATATATCTGAACCTTTCTATGATACCATCCTGGGACTTACAGAACATGAAATGCACTTGAACCTTTTACTGATACCATCATGCAGCTCACAAAACTTATTTCAGAAATTATTTTCAATTTTAATAAAATTCATTTTATCCAAATTTGTGGTTTGCCATTGACAACATTGGGTTCTTCGTACACTAATTTATTTACAGGATATCCAACACATCAATTTTTTCTATGTTTTTTAAAAAAAACAGGTTAGTCTGTATGCTAGATACATTGACTATATCATCGACTCCTTTCCCAATTTCATTTTTCTTTAAGCTTTAGCTGACGTGTTCCTCAAACAACCCCCCCTTTTCTTGGTATCATTGTCACCATATGCAACAGGAAATTGACTGCTTCTATTTATTATAAGCCAACATATTCACATTCATACTTACATTTTTAATCCTGTCAACCCCTTTTCATTCCACATTCCATCACCTGCTTTCAATTTTTACATCTCTGAAGTATTTGTATTGATCCTGATGACTATTTTTCTAAATCGGAAGATTTGTTAGTTTTCTGCTATTTGCATGGCTACACCGGACTTATTCTACCTAAATTTTTCAAATTCAATAAAGCCTGTCACATCTTAAAACAGCTGTTCCGAGATCTGCACCTACTTATCGCTATTTATACAAGTAAAAAAAAAACAACATTGCCTCATTTACATTTTACAGATGCTTTTCTCATTTGGCTTGAAAGAAAAAATTTAATTTCTGTAATAATTCTTTCATTCTCGTGCATTTTCTATCTTGTTTTTCAACTTCTTGTTTATAATTTCTGTATTTCTATCTGAGAATTTCATTTAATAATTGTACCTATTGATTTTAAATTAGACTACCTTTTTACATTCGATTTCTTTTTATACAACAATACTTTAAACTATCATAGTATATCATACCATGTCCCATGTTACATGCAATGTACGTTATTGTTATTATTTAAATATTATTCTATTCTAAAATGTAAGCATCACCTGATAAACCACTTTAGAATGGGATGATCAGCATGAGAAATAAAATAAATCTGAATTTTAATTAGTAACTGAGTACAAGCTAATAAATAAATAGACTGGACATGATGTGTAACATAAAATGAAGACAATTATTTATTCAACAAAAAACATTGTGTGTACTTGCTTTGTAGATACTGGATGGTCACCTGTTACTGGACTTGTGAATTGTTCGAGAGATTTTCTTCCCTCAAGATGTTTTCCCCATCAAGCAAGTTACTTAATATCCTAAATAATAATGTTTAATTAATGGAAAATGTTGGATTTATCCATAATGACTAGTGTTACACATCTGCCTTTCTATTTTCATTCAACAAAGGGGTAGTCCATAACCTTTGCATATCATCTGTTCTATGAGTAAAGGATATTGCTTTACAGACTTCTTTGCACAATGTTCAGCTTTGTAACAATATTCCAAAGTCAACTTAATGGTTTCTGAATTACACGTTATGTGAAAAATGCATAGACTCAAACTAAATGAAAAATGTTGAAAATTTCTACATCAAAATGAGAAGGAAGAAAATGCATGATATACCTGTACACCACACTTTTCCTTCCCCTCTTTTTTCAGGTTTGTCTTCAGGTCAACAGTTCTGTTTAGATTTACAACCAATACAATTTGCACTCATGATATTGTCAAGAAGCACATTTGGAAATCCTTCTCCAGCCATGGTAGCCAGTTTTGAGTCCAAAGAATCCAGGCAGCTTTGTTTTCACAAAATCAGATTTCATTAATATGAATAAAGAATTTATTTACTTCTTCATTTGTGTATTTGTTTCTCGTTTGCTGTCCATGCTCATGTTATTCTTCATTTAACAGTCATGAACCTGCACTTAACAGATACTTAACGAATGCCACACCTACAAAAAAATTAACTTGAGACAAGTCAATTAACGTATCTGACTATCATTTAATACAGTTTCAACGTCCTAGGCCTTCAGCCTCTTTCTTCACAAGGAAAAAAAAATTACCACATAAAAATTTGCTTTTCAGTTGACTATTAAGATTTCACAAAAGTTTAGATTATTCATAATAAATTGTGCACCAACCAATAAAAAAATTTCAAAAATTAACCAAAACAAACATAATAAAGTGTTTTGGAACACATTTTTATTTCATTTGATTTTTAGGGTACACATAGATACATAAAATAAGCCTTGGTCTAGCCATACTGTTAAATGAGCTGCAGCTTTACAGCTCTACCAAATAGTAACCAAATCTTAACTAAAAATTACTCTGGATATTCATGAGAATGTATACTGTTATTGTCTCATTATAAAGAAAAATAAAAACTGATTCACAAAAAGTCTGAAAATAGGTCCCAGACCAAATATGAAAAATTCTTCTAAATCCATAAAATATTAAATTTCAGCTCCCGCTTAACACAGCTGATTCAGAAAGCTACTTATCTTATATATAAACCTGAAGTGCTTAAAATCATCTTTCTATAAAAAATGAAATACATAATTTAAAACAATTTTCTCAAATAACAACATACAATGAAAAAAATGTCATAAACCAAAACATTCAAAGATGGTGCAAGCGGAATGTAACTGTTTTAATACTATCAAATAAGGTAAGCTTATAAGATGAGGTTAACGGATTAAATATCTGTTCAAATAAGAGTAATGTATTTCCTGATTTACTCCAGAGCTGAACCCGGTCCAAAATGGATGTCTGTCTAGGCTGTCACCAGATCTTTAACAGAAAACTGCTGAAGAACATTAAAATTTAAGGCATCATGTAATTTGCCGTCCTTCTCTACTTGCACATGTTCAATGTTGGCTTCAAGAGCTTGTGCTAGATGCCACCACCCTGGAAGTTCTCGCAAAAACTCACTGCAAAAAAGTAAAAGAATTGCTTACACTGGAATACTTAAGTATTGTTTAAAAATTTCTGTAAAACCAACTTCTCATGTAACTAGGTTTTGTTACATTTAAATTCACACAAATAATATTCTTGTACAGCTTACATTTGCAAGGGATCTGTTAGATAACTCAGGAAAATGGTCACAAAAATTAGAATAGATCCAGAAATACCAGGAACATAGGAGTTCTAGGGAAACTCGTCAAAACTCAATTTTATCTTCTTTTTTAAATTCATGATGCTTCCAAGTTTAACAAGTTTCATTCTTTTAAAAAAAACGTATACCATAAATAACTTTTTACTCTACCTGTATATTTCACTTTACTATGTTAGCATGTAGGATTTTTAAAGATTCTCTATTCTATTTTGTTACTGGATGATATGAAATTACTCATAGAATTAAAATATTCCTAACAATGTTTTACAAAAGCAACATTATTTCAATTAGATAAAGGAAACCAAGGTACATACCCACATAATATCATTATTATGATATTAAAGCAGTCATTTAATGAAGCATTCCTAGCAACGTTTTACAAAAGTGTGATAATCGCAACCAGATAGAGGAAACCTAGTTATGTACCCACATAATTTCTTTACAGTCTCCATCTTTAAAATAAAATCAAAAGTATTAAATATCTTATATTGGAATGTCTTAACTCCTAGCACTTTCATCAGATGGACCTGTTGAAAGTGCTAGGTTTTTTTTTTATGTTTATTTTATTTTAGTGTGAACAGAGTACAAGTATTACAATAAAGGTTTAAATATCATATATGATTATATCACACAGCAGTCATATAAAACATTACCAGAAATACCCATACCTATGACACTGAATGCAGCTTGTGGTAAATAAAAAAAAAAAAACAACATCCTATTCAGGACAAGTTACTTATCAGTCTTTAATCAACAAGTTGTGCTTTCATTATTTTACTTATCATTTGCAACCAGAATATGTTTGCAGCTAGAAAAAATAATGTCATAAAAACAAAACACTGCTTACCATGTCCCTATTGATAGTATAGTCTTAACTGACAGTTTCTGAAAATTATCAAAATTGGATGCTAAAGTCATGTTGTAAGCACCCATATTTTCAAACATTAGCCAGTCTCCAACTGTCAGAACAGGAAGGCTACACTTTTTCACAATTTGATCCAACTTATCACAAGTAGGTCCCCACAAACTACAGCACACTTCTGCATAATCAGCACTGTCCTAAGAGTAGAAATAACAAAGAAAATTTGTCACCAAGAAAAATACCTATTACAATTGACAGTTCTAAGATTAGGAAAACTTTTTTGAGGGGGGGGGAAAGAGATATTTTTTGTTTTTGACTTGTGCTATCCAATAAAGCTTAGTTTCTAAAACAAAAATAAATGTCTTAATAGTGTGTATTTTCTTATCCTCAGCTAAATCAGGACTGTGGAAATTAGTCTTAAGCAGTGTCAGAGTAATTTAATATACGTTTGCTATTTTCTTAATTAAGGTTTAATTTGAGAATAATACACTTGTATTATTGAAAAGATAAAGGAATGTTCTGGAATAGGTTTGTTATATACATAACAATTAAGATCTGTTAAAGTACAATGTACTTAACAGTGAATAAAAAATAGAAATATAGAAAACAACATTTTGAAAGTCTTCCAAAAGATCGTCATCTACATTTTTGTTTTTACAACAGGCAGTTGCCATCCATTCCAGTATACCCATCATTGAATTTACTATCATGCTCACTAATATTTTAGTTTAACATATAGCAAAGTATTCAGTTTAGTTGAAGAAATGCACCTCAAAGATAATCAGAAGAAATTTATTACAAATTAAAAAAACTGAAATTTAAAATTTATTCACTTCAATGATAATAATATCTTTTAGAAAAAGCTCAAAACGTTTTTCTAAAGAAAAGGTAAAAATACACAAGAGAATAATTTCAACTGTAGAATTCTTTCATTATTCAACCTGGAACGTTTGTAATTTTTGAGCCAAAATACATATTACTAATCCACTACATTCAGACTGTATTATAAAACAGGATCACAAAATCACTTATTTAATATAATTTGCCAGCAAAACAGTTGTGTCAAGTGCTGAAACATCATTGTACAAGATATACACTGTTTGGTCTTATAATCTAAATGACATCATTCTACAAGATATACACTGTTTGATCTGATCATCTAAATAACATCATTCTACAGGATGTACACTGTTTGGTCTGATCATCTAAATAACATCATTCTACAGGATGGATCAGACCAAACAGTGTAAATCTAAACACATAAGTATCATTTCTCAACAGAGATACTGTTTATTGATTAATTGTTATCACAGCTCAGTACCAAGTTTCAATGCTTCTACTACTGGTTATTAACATTTGATCTTTATTGACACACACACACATCAGAGAGCTATACACACAAAAAGGTACTGAATAAACAATTGCTGAAAATTAGGTGATAACATTTTCATTTATTCCAGATGCATGTTATAATCCTTGTCACTTATCAGCATTATTGATTATCAAATTGGTTTGTTCAAGATAACTGATTCGGTGAAAATGAGATTTTGAGCATGCAGCAATGATAGGATGTCTGGTGATGTAACAAGAATAAATCATTCATTGACAGGGGAATAAGATTTTTTTTTTTAGTGGTAGTAGTATAAATATCAGGTTTAAAAAATTGGTCATGAGATTAATACAAAATACTATAATAAATAATCAATTCTGTAGGAAACACAGCATTCTCTATCTTACCATTAAATGCAGTGGTTTTATTTCAGCTTGGTCAAACATCAAACAGCTAAATGATCCATAGACACCATCATTGAGGTAATATGTTATTAGAGGATCTCCTTTAAAGCAAAAATACAAACATTTGTAAATTTATAATTCTTTTTATATCTCGGAAGTAGAAAACTAAACTTCATATTCAGCTTTACACCACAAAGATAACATTCTTTTTGATTTACATGTATATTAAGCTTTACAAAAATAAAATAACTACATATATCAGCATCAAGAATTAAAACACTCAGAAAAGTAACTTGTAAATAATGAAGACAATCCTATAAAAAACTTGACATGACATGCTTAGTTTTATAAATCAATACCAAAAAAACAAACTGGTTGTTTGTTGAATAATGTGCAAAGATAAACAAGTGCTATCCACTCTAGTCATCCCTAATTTTGAGGTAATAATACCAACCACCTCTGGGCATTAGTCAGTGGTTCCTCAGATTCACAGTCCAGGTCTCCAACCACTAGGCCTCATTTAGCCAAACAAAGGAATAAAACCTATCATGATCATAGCACAGTGAATCATCAACTGTGTTCCATCACTGTTGAAAGTATTTTTTTGCATAATCCACATAACATGAAAATAAGGTTTACCAGATTAGATGGATTAGGTCAATTCTAAGCCTGTAAGGTCTATTCAGTAAATTATACACTTTTAAAACAGAAAAATTCTAGACTGTTTAACTTAACATAACTATGTTTAAAACTTTAAACAAAGGTGAATGCAAGTTCTTTTTTTTAAATCTTTAAAATTTATCCTTACATTAAAACTTTACTTTCATGCAGAAATAGTTATATACAACTAGACAAAAATTATGCCAAGAGTCAATACCCAGTTTTTAATTATTTTTTACAGAATATTTGCATATTTAACATCAGTAACTATTTCATCTTTCCAAGTTGATGAAACCTTTTATCGAAATTAACTATATATATTTTACTCTAAGAAATAGCCATAAAAAAAATGACAAGTCACAAATGACTTCAAAGTTGACATGAATTCATGGAAAAGGTATATTAGATTTAAAGAGGGTAGCATCAGGCATTCACATTTGGCAGCCACTATTGCACTGATGCTTGTACCTGTAAAACTAGCTTTGTGAGCACTTCAGTTTCAGCAGAGAAACATACTTACCTGCTAGTTTCAGATACAGCTGTTGGAGCCTCCTTTAATACTAGAATTTGGCTTCTAGATATTCACAGTGTTCCCCATAGAGTTGAAATGGCAATGTAAGATAGCGTATCTACATCATTTGCTGATGTGAAAGACTTCTTGGTAACTATATATTACTTATTCAAATAATCTGGACAGTTCAAAAGGCACTTTGAGACAACTGTCAGTGCATTTGATGTGCAGCATTTTAATTTTCCCAAAGTCCATGGCACATTATGTTGTACACATAAGACATTGAGTAAATTACTTACAGAGTAACTGGGTAACTCTATTGCAAGTTGCAAGGACAGAGTGTATCAGCTAAATTTCACGGACTCTTGAAAAAAGATGCAAGACTTCACTTTTCTGTCAAAATATTGCCTGTATAAAAATATGCTTAATGTATGTTCTATTCTGTCTATGCAGACTGAAAAAGAAAACATTTTGTGCTATTAAATACTGCCTTTGGTAATAAAAGCAAAGGATGCCTTACCAGAACTCAAGGAAGAAATTTCACTGTGAAAATCTTTCAAAAGTTCAAACTTGAACTGGAAACTAAAATCATATTCCGGGCACCTCAAGAGCACTTTGCTTAAAGCAGGGCACCAGAAAAAGAAAACAGGGAATACAATACTGTCATTGTCAACTAAAGTCTAATGAACAACTTAGACTGTGCCGAGAAAACTGTAAACAAACTGAGAATTACAGTCATTCTAAGTGTACAAGTTTGTCTTGAATTAAGATTCTCCTCATTTGAGAGAGAACTTTACGAAAATATATACACCTGGA